GATATGAAAACCAAACTTATAAGGTATTCTAGGTATTGTTCTGTAGAATAATACACAACCAAAATAACTCATACTAAATATTGAATTCTTTTGAGTAATACGAGATTTAATTTTAAAAATTCCAACTTTTGATAAAAAAAATTTACTTTTTTCAATTAAATAATAATAATTTACATAAGTTTGGTTTAATTGCGTATGTTGGTTGAAAGGACAATTAAATAGCTTTAAAATAAAAAAAAAATTATGTTAAAATGTTGAAAAGTTTTGGAGTAACATAAAAAAATCCGTGGCAGTTTTGGTTTGGTTTAAAAAAACTCAAATTGCCCATAACTCAAAAAAAAAAAGAGTTAGACCACCACTTTTAAGGTTATTTCTTCATCATTTTAATTTTTAGATATACTTTCATATAACGGCGGCCGGTCACTTCGCCCGGGACACATCGAATCAGTTATCATCGATAACAAATTATATATAAAATATTTCAAACGTCTTTGGTGAGCGGCCAGCGTTCAGTCCGGTCTGATGATAGCAAGCGATCAAAGTGTTATCGCGTTTACCGTTTCTAACATCATTCTTATGCGTTGTGTTTACAAGTTTACAACCTTAAAATCATTCGTGTAGTGTGTAAGCGTAACATCTGATTACACTATTTTTCGCTCGAGCGTGATTTTTGAGTGCCGCTGTAGAGGTAAGAATAATTTTTTTTCATCCATTTTAATCGTAATATTTAAAAGCATTCGACGTTGGAAATTTTCGTCGCCGCTTTGATACTGTCGTGGCGGTTTCGATTTCATCGATCGACGTATTTATTTTCGCGATACGAAAATCGTGAATCTTGGTACTCACTTGCTTTATTATTCGTTTCAGATACCTGTTAAAATATGAAGTTCAACATTTACAAAACGTCGTCGAGACGCAAGTCTCGTAAATTACATTTCACAGCTCCTTCACACGTCAGGCGCCGTATCATGTCAGCGCCTCTCTCTAAAGAACTGAGGAGCAAGTACAATGTAAAGTCTATGCCTGTCCGCAAAGACGATGAAGTCCAGGTCGGTGAATTGATTAAATTATACTTTACTATATATTTAGTGTTCACTCGTGTCTGTATTTATCACTAAGCAGATTTACTGTCCTATAAATCTGACCCTTGAAGTGTGTTATGTTTTGTAAGGTGTTTTCATTTGTCGTTATTTAATGTTTAACTTTTTAAAACTTCAATAATTTTTTTATTTGATAGGTATTGGTGAAAAATTTCTTGTCATTCTACATATTACTTTATAAAAGCACTTAATACATTTCAATATCTTCTTTGGCATTGTTTTTAAAGTTAAAATGTTAAACTATCTAAAACGATGAACAAATACTTGACCAATATAATGCACAGTATTAAAATATTTATTATAGTTTATGAGATTAATCAATTAAATCAAAATAATGATTAGTATTACTGTTTGGTGGTAAGAGTTTTTGTCTATTAAATGATATTATAAAGACAATTGAATATTCAAACAATTTAATGTGTCAAGTAGTTATTATTTTGTGTACATGTTATTATGTTTAAAATATTTGATTTAAACTATTTATGTGTATAATTGATTTAGTGTTGCAGTTTTTGTAGTAGAATATTTGATTGCAGGAACTTTATCTGTTTAATGCTATTATAAAAGCTTTGGTTTAACATTGAATAGTAAAATTTCTTTGAAAGAAAACTTATTAGGTATATTTTAAAAACATTCACAGTTCTGTTCATATAAATATACTTCTTGATTATTAAATGTATTTAAATTGATGATGCAAAACCATTCTTTGAAACAGACGAATAACAAATACAATTAATTTTTTGTTACAGTTTTTGTATCAGAATATTTGATTGTAGGAGTTTTATCTGTTAAATGATATTTTAAAGGCTCTGATTAAATATTATTTCAACATTTCAAGTAATATCTGATAGGGATGAAATAGTAATTTTACTTTTCACGTTAAAGCTTTAATATTTATAATTTTTGTATCTGTTGTATGTATATTTAAATATTAAATATTTAGTATAAATGAACTCCCTATTTACATAGTTTTTAATTGTTATGAGTACTTGAACTGATGAAGCAAAACCATTCTTTGAAACAGACGAATAACTTGTATAAGCACTCTTGTGTTACAGTTTTTGTGATTCAATGATTGATTATACAAGTTTTATCTGTTAAATGCTATTATAAAGGCTCTGATTAAATACTTATATGCAATACATAAAGTGTGTTAAATAAGTACAACCAGTTATTTGCATTTAATATTAAATTTCCTTTGGTTAATGTGATGAAGCAAAACCATTCTTTGAAACAGACGAATAACAAATACAATTGTTTTTTGGTTGCAGTTCTTGTAATCAAATGATCAATAGTAGAAGTTTTATCTGTAAAATGATATTTCTAAGGCTCTGATTGACTTACAATTTTGAACCATTTATGTTCTGATTTTAGTCTATACTATTATTAAATTTATATTTTTGATACTTTCAGGTTGTAAGAGGACATTTCAGAGGTCAACAAGTTGGCAAAATTGTCCAAGTATACAGGAAGAAATATGTCATCTATATTGAAAGAATCCAACGTGAGAAAGCTAATGGTGCAACTGTTTATGTTGGAATCCATCCTTCGAAGGTATTGTTTTAAACTTATTAATTGTATTATTTTAATTTGTTAAATATTAAAATCTATTTTCATATCGGTTTTTAGTGTGTCATTGTAAAATTGAAGTTGGATAAAGACCGCAAAAAGATCCTTGATAGGAGAGGCAAAGGCAGAGCTCAAGCATTGGCTCTTAAAGGAAAAGGAAAATACACTGAAGAATCTGCAGCAGCAGCCGCGATGGAAACATCATCATCGTAATAGTTATGATTTTTTCAATAAAACACATAAAACAAAAAAAATATTGTTTCTGTTTTATTTAATTCTCCTTAATTAAAATCTTAATTCCGGTTCTTTTTTTCATAATAGGTGATACTGATAAACCTAATATTTAATAGTCAGCTGTTGATTATCTTTCAGTCTCAAAATAACATAACAAACTGTATAATTAACATTATATTAATATTAAGACTTATAAGTACACTAAAAATGTGATTAAAATGACTTCTTGTAAATGATAATGATTATATTAAAATAAAAAAAGATATAATTAACAGAAAAAAATCACTATTAATAAGATATATTATTAAAACAATTCTATTTCAGGTAGAAAATGAAACAAATTATATTAATCAGTTTTATATTCATTATTTTTCTTGCTAAAATAATAGATAAAGTAAATTTAATATCCAATTATTTATTTTGGTAAAAAAAAATCTGTTTATTCATTATTATACATATAAGTTTATTAACTTTTATATACCAAGTTTTATAGACAAACTATGATACATTATTAATGATAATTTATCTTTTATTTTGCCATTAACTAATTAAGTATACTTACAATAAGTTCCACTTCTACTTTTTTCTCGGTAAATTACATTTCTTTACTCTAAGACTTCTGTCTATAAATACAATACACCTCTGCTTGTGGAAATATGTATGGTCAAACATTAAAATGAATATTAAATGTAATCATTAATTTACTGTCTTAAAAATTATATTACTGGTAAATTTACCTGAGTATGTCACGGACCCATGAATAGTAAAGTTATTTAAAAAGGGTTAGATGTGCCTAATCACCTTAAATTTTAATATTACTGGCTTTTAAAATAATATGTGTAATAAAAAATATTTCAAATCAATTCTTAAGTATGAATTATACTTTTTTGAAATACAACAAAATAATTGGTCATTTTTTTTTCTAGTTATCTAAACAAATTTGAATTTGATATGAGATGTAAAAGATTATTATCATTATTAGTTAATACAAGAACTTTGGTACATTTTTAGTTTTATTAATTAAAATGTTAATGTTTTAACAACTAATATACACATTTCTGTCGTTTTGTTAATGTTAGAATATTGAAAGCATTTAAAAGAAAAAAATTGTGAATATTTTTTAAACTTTGTGATTAGGAGTCTTGTTTTACATTTTCAAGATTATTGGCAATCAAAAAAATTTATGAGCATTCATTGGAAATTTTTAATGTTACCAAAATTTGAATTTTCATCATAAGCCGTTAAACGTGACTTATGAAAAATGTATTAAATGTTAAAGAATCAGGTGTTGAAAGTTATGTATTTTTAACTAACAAAAAATATAAATTTTTGTGATTTTGAGAAATTTCACTAATAATTGAACTTCAAACAGGTAATATTAGTTATATAAACAACACATTATAACTTGTAAGTATGTAATTACAGTAGGCATAACATTACTCTAAGAAACCTTGTTTTAAGTTATTTTTGTTTTTTTACTAACAATTTGATGATTTTAGCACTATCATCATTTTAGACTGTGAACTGAGGATCTTTCATTTATAAGAAAAATATTTTCAATCTTCAACATGAAATCCTGGTTTCTGTGAACAAATTTTATTTAATTTGTAGATATTTATTGAAAAGAAAATTGGAATAACTAGTTACTCCAATATATTTATATATTTATATTGTGTTCACCTTATTATGGTGTCTAAAACGATAATTGGAAAATACAATAAAATCGCAATATTTTTGTTGGTGGTTACAATTTGTTAGGTATGCAATATCAAACGAATATAGATCTATTAATTTGTTAAATTTAATTAATAGTTCAGAGTTCTAAAAAAATTTTTTTTTTTAAATATTGATAATTTATCAATAGGTACACTATGTAGTGATTCCGTTGTAATTCTTTATCTCATCTAGTGTAATCACAGAATAAATTCTGTGGTTTTATCTTCATAGTTTATCACGATTGACAACAAAAAAGTGAAATGATTAAATTAAATTAAAATAAAATAAACTGACCAACGGGAAATACTCCTCGAGCTTTTACAAGACGGCAAAGATAGCAGTAGCAACTGATTTTTATTTGGTTTTTATTGTTTTTAATATTCATCGATAATTCAATGCTCTTCTATTGTGAGATTTCTGACTTAATTTTACGAAGACCGAAGGGTGGAGAGCAAAATTCACCTCTGTACTAAGCTACATTGTTGTCTAGTTTTCAATTTTATGTATTGATATATTCCTCACGCGACTTTTTCGTCGTTACTGTGGTAATAAAAAAAATATTACATCTATATTATGAAGGATAAAGTGAACATACCTATCTACTTTTGTTCTGGAGCATAATATCATTGGAAAATATTTTCAAATTATTAGTTTAATTTGTTGTTCATATTAAAAACTAGATTGTGAATGAAATTATTTTTTTTAGAATTAATAGGTGAAACTAAGTACCTATTTCACTAAAATGGGTTTATTGACTGATCCATCGGTTGGTCATGGTGCTTTGACAAGCATATTTGTACGACATCACAATCGTTTTTGTATATTGATGTATATTGTATCTGGGGTTCTGTTCTGTATGCTGGCACACTACAGTCTAAACTCACGTGAGTTTAATGTTTCATTTTTAATAAGCGAATTTTATGAATAATAAATAACTGATGATAATACTTATTATTTACAGAAACATATTTTTCTGAAAATGCCCTTCTTCCTGGATTGGTAAAAGGTCAGTTGAACGACAATACTGGATCATCGTTTAGAGATCATTTTAGAGAACTTAATGCCGAAGCAAAATATTATGAAACTGAAACACCTCATTCATACTTGATCTCAAAGTTTAAAAATTTACGGCTTGAAACTTACTCTCATAATTTTACTTTAAATTATCCTTTAAAAAAGAATACAGTAAGTACAAAATAATCAAACATGTAAATTATTTCATAATCATTGGTTGTATAAAGGCAATTTAGTATAATAGTAAGGAGTATTAAAAAAGTACTAGTTATAGTGTAGAATGGAATAGTTGTTATGAACGATTTAGATATTCATAAATGTACATATAAAAGGAGGCTCATTTCTACATGCTACCCTTTAATTTGCTACGTTTGTTGTTGAATAAACACAATATTAACAGATTTCATCCCACCACTATGTATAATTATACTTATCATTATAATTATTATTATGTATCTGAGTTAAAAGATTGATTTAATTCTAGAATTTAATTAATTATTATATTTATTAATGAACCGCAAGTAAATTATCATTATTTAATGTAATAATTTATGTCAGTCAAATTATATTGTAATTATAATTAATTTTATAGAAATACACTGGACGCAATGTATATGGTATTCTTCGAGCACCTAGGAGTGCTAGTATAGAATCAATAGTTTTAAGTGTGCCATATCGAGCTCCATCAAGTGTTTTTCCCAGTACTCTACCTGGTCTTGCTGTTATGTTTCAAATTGCTCAGTTCTTTCGCCGTATGTACATTTTCATAACCAAAATTAATATGTATTTTTTAACCATGTTTTTGATAAAATATGATTTTTCAATAGAACAAATTTATTGGGCAAAGGATATTATATTTTTGGTCACTGAACATGAACAATTGGGAATGCAAGCATGGTTAGAGGCATATCATGGAGCTTCATGTGGTTCACTTGGTAATTAAACTGTTTGGTTATATTAGTAGTATTAAGTTAATAATCAAATATAATTTAAAATATTAATGTAGGTGTGTTAGACTCTGGAAAATTAAGTGGCCGCGCAGGTGCTATTCAAGCTGCTATTAATTTGGAAATTCACTCTGATAAAATTGATCACATTGACATTAAATTGTCTGGATTAAATGGCCAATTGCCCAATTTAGATTTGGTAAATTTGGCTCATAGATTATGCAACAAAGAATCTGTTAGACATACATTTAACAATGTTGATGGTGGAGTATGTATTAAGTTCTTAAACACTTAACAATATATTTACTTTAGTTTGATTATAGTTTTCAATTAATTAAATATTTTTAATAGGCTATTGGTCGTAATAAAGTCAATTCTTATTACACAAATTTGAGTACAATGTTGTCAATGGTAATGACTCAAGCTACCGGAGTGCCTGATGGAAACCATGGTCTTTTTCATAGGTGAGATTTAGCCAGATATTTTACGATTTACTTTTATTTATCTGTAAATATAATTTTTCCAGGTTTGGTATTGAAGCAATAACTCTAGAAGGATATGAAAAAGAAGGACGAGGCATTTATTCCAGTGTATTACAAGTTGGAAGGTAGGCATAAGATGTTAAATGTATCAAATATACAGCTTTTTATGTCATTATTATTAGTTTTTAAATATATTCCTTTATTTTAAGGGTTATTGAAGGCATGTTTCGTAGCTTGAATAATTTACTTGAAAGATTTCATCAATCATTTTTTTTTTATCTATTACCTTCTACTGATAGATACGTTTCAATTGGTAAGTAAAATAAAATATATAAAAATAACTAGAATTTATTGATATTACACATTTTCAAATGTTTTATTAGGTTTGTACATGCCTTGTTTGGTATTACTTGTCGGTGCTTTATTTTTGAAAGCTTTCTCAACTTGGATTCAACATTCTTCTGAACACAAACCGGGTGACTCGTCAGCACAAGTTACTGTATTAAAACTAAAGTTATATAAATAATTTATGTAGTTAATTGTTGGAAAATTGTATTTTTTTTAGATACCTGAACACTTAAATGTTGGAATGGTCAGTGTAATTACTTTGGGTTCTCATGTCATAGGTTTGTTGTTATTACCAAATTTAGCACCAGCATATTTTACACATTTTTGGAACCATATACCAACACACCGTGCATTATTAATGGGTTATGGTTCAATATCTCTAACCATTGTTTGTCTTCTACCAATAATAATGAAAAAGTTAGTAAAAGTTATACTCAAAAATGATTTATTTTTAATGAAATATAATGTAAGGAATTATTTGTAATGTAGTACATTAATTACCTCATTTAATTTTCATGTTTCATTCAAAATTCATGTAATTTACCTTGTTTAGGCTTAAAAAATTTTATATTATTTTTTATAGATGTCTAAATTCTTTCAAATCTTCAAATTGGGTATTGTTACATGTAATTTGTTTATTAGAACTTGGAATTGGTTTATTATGTGTTTCTATGCATAATTTTTCGCTTGGATATTTAACTGCTCTTGTGTATGTTCTACCTGCAGTTTGCACTAAATCTATGCAAAACAGGTATACATAACATTAAATACTCTTAAATCCAGTTACAGTTACAGTTACAAATGTTTTAATATTATTTGATCTGTTTCAGTATAATAGTAAAATTCCTTTGGTTGCTTGTGCATCCTATGTGCTCACTGTTTTGGATCACTGCATACATCACTTACACTGCATATCCTGAACTGCCGATTACTGATTATTTGACCAAAGTACTAGAGGCATCAGGCCAATGGATGGTATTATCAACAGTAGACAATATGATTTATGGTAATTGGGCGTTTACAGTTGGTGTGCTGTTATTGTTGCCTGTTTGGACAGCATTTTGGTGTCTAATGTTCCTTCCAACAGTTGTTTCAAAAAAAACAAAGACGGAATGAATAAAAAAAAATACATGTTCATTTAATCTTTTTTTTTATTCAATAATTTATTTACAAAATAATTTTTAAGCAATAAAAAAGATCAATATATAAACCATTTATGTTATATTAACTAAAATCATATTATTCTAGTAGGAGTGAGTGCGGGTATTATATAATATGTATATATTTATTATGTGCCTTGGCGTCAGTCATAATATGAAAATCAATGAACGTCATGATTTTACATCGTTATAAGGTAACAAAATTCATTTAGAAAATAAAATTTGTTCATGATTAAGTTATAGTAGAAAAAATAATATAATACTGAAACAGGACACTTTAAGCATTATTATAAAAAACATAGCTTAAATTTGGGTAGGTAGGAACTATTTATTAGAAGAACATAATTTAAATTAAAAGTATTGAACTATTTATTATTATTTGGGAAAAATGAAGGGATTAGTATACCAGGCTTAAAAATCACAGGACATATAATTGGTTGTTCCCAATATTGTCAGATATTACAAACTATGTATAATATAAAAAAATACATATAATAATAATATAATAAAAAAATAAAATAAAAATGGGTGAGGGAAAGGGACTATTGAGATGTCAGCCATTAATTATCAGCTCGTTATCATTGAGCAATGACTCTTAAATAGCTAACAATCAATTATACAAGAAAATAATATCTTAAGTTAGTATTATCACATAACAATATTGTAGATCTCACTTGGTGATCATATAATGCATGTACAGAAAAATTATTATTATTGTTACATGGTACTTTGTAACTTGGATGTTATTAATATTATTGTACCTAGTAATACAACACAATAATATACAACTATGTATATACATACATACATATATCTAAGATATATATAAATAGTATATACTTGGTACAGATATAAATAATATTACTTAAATTAATAAATAAGTAGTAAATTTGAAGATACCTACTATAATTAGTATCAAAAAAAATAAAATAAAAATATATTTACTAAATAATAATAATAAAAAAAAAAAAAAAATGGTAAAACAAAATGTAATCAATAGGAGTGATGTGATTATGTCATTCGATTTGCTCAAATGCCAAATACATAGAAAAAACAAAGGGTTCTTATTGAGCAATTGTGAATATACGGTGGAATTATTGGCATGATTGAAAATATTATTGGAACAACATGTTTCATATTAATATAATATTTAATAAAAAGTTGAAGTTGTTGAGGGAATATATTTGTTCTTGTCTGTAAGTCATTTTCTTCATATTCAATAGTTTTAGTTGATATTTTAATTGTTAACAGCAAATAATTTTTTCTTGATTTTCTCTGCCAATTCCAAAGTCCGTATACTAATTCAACTAGCAATCTGAAATATTTAGATTAAAAACATTTAGAATTTATTAATTTATGAATTAAGTATATAATATTCAAATTAAAAGTAATAAATTGGTAAGAATTGGAGAGAAAAAAGGTAATTAGAGTAATTTAGTAATTAGGTTCAGATTTTTTAAATTGTCTGATTAGTGCACATTTTAGGATTGTTCTCAAGTTTAAAATGTATTCTTAGAGTACAAAAATTTAAAACATAAACAATGTTATAGATAATTTTTAATGTTCAATTTTATTTAAGTGTTTTAATTTTTAGGGCATTACACAATTTGATTATATAACTTTTTAACAGTACTATGTCTGCAACTTTTTAGATAATGTGAATTTGATTTCTTTCAGTATCATTGACATTATTAAAGTATATTTTTAATTATTTAATTTAAATATTATCAAAATGTTCTTAAAATAATTTTATAAGCATTTATTATTTATTAAAAATTAAAAATCAGAGTTTCAAATTAGTTTTTCTTTCAATAAATTTAAATGTTAATAACAGAAATATATTTAACTCATGAAATTAAATTGTAGTAATTGACTAGGAATAGGAATTAAAATTGCTACATTTACTTCGTAATTAAATTATAAATACCTTGTGACTATTGATCTACAGGTGATGTTTCTGGCATGTTGAGAAAAAGAAGTATATTTTGTTAAGATCCCATTGTTGATTGTAGATTATTATTAGATAAATATTAAATTCAAGATTTGTTGAATTAAAAATATGTTGCAATAATTGTTGCATAATATTAAAAGAATTATAAGTTTTGACTTCAGAAGTATAAGAAGAAATGTAATTTAACAGTTTTTGAAGCTTGTTGATTTGTTATCATGACTGAGTATCACTTGATTACATGGGTGGTTTGATTTTGGTAACTGTAACTTTTGTTATTTTGATGAATTTGGCATTTTGATGTTCACGAAAGACAAACAAATTGAGGTTTTAGTTGTATGACTAATTATGGACATTAATGACGCCTTCCTAGATAACAGTAATTTTTTTAAGTTAAACACTGAAATACAGTACAAATTTTAAACAAATTTAATTCTTACCTGAAAGGTCAGCTGCCATAGTATGAACATTTTTAACTCTCTGTTGTTGCTTTGCCTTGTCTCTTTTTTCTCGCTCATGCATATCTCTATCTCTTTGTAGCCTGTCTTCTTCCATTTTCATTCTATCTACTATATTTGGGGACATGACTAATGGTGATTGTAAATGATGAAGTCCATATAGAGCTGAAGGATGAGGACTACTATGTGGATGATATGGAGAAGTAGGAAACAAAGGTACTCCACATCTTTCAAGATACATTTGTTCCTCAATCCTAAAATAACGCATACAAATTAAGTAAATAAATATATAACTAAATTTATACAAATAACTTACCGAAAAGCATGTTGAAAATGTGGAGAATAAAGATTTGCAGGATGGTAAGGGGAGTATGAGGCAGGATCAACAGCAAAATGAGGAGCAGATGCTGATGTAGGCACCATATTTCTTTGCTCATCAGGCTTATAAGGTTGAAATCCACTACGTGGTTCTGTATTCAGACCAATTGATTTTGATTCCTTAAGATAAAATATGATTTAAAATGAAAATATATATTATTATACTGGTGGTAAACATATATGATTGATTTTTACATTAAACAATAACAGTCTTATAACAAAAATAGCTTAATGTTATTTTTTATGATGCTTACATTATCTGGTTGTGATTTATTACAGTTTGGAAGTGTGATTCGTCCTTTTAAAGACTCTTGTTGGTGTTTCTCTTGAGACTCAATTCCTTCTTTATCTATTTAAAAGAAAATTTAAATAAATTATGTTTTACATTAACTTATTATAAATAAGTAATTCTTCAGTATCTAATATCTCACCATTGGAATGAGTAGAAGGGGGTCCAGCTTGTTTAGCTAAATTTCTTAGAGCAGCAGCAAATGATCTACCACCAGGAGATGGAGGTGGCGGAGCTTGACCAATAAGATTTGGCATTAAAGTACGTTTTGAACCTGAACTTGTTGGTTGAGGTTTAACTAAACCTGAAATATATATATATATATTTTAATTTTTTTTATAATTTACAATAGAATGAAATTTTTAATTTACATAATTAGGAATGATAACTATTTATACATAAGTTTCTACAATTTTATGATTAAAGAATCAAAATAATTAAAATAATATATAATATGTATATTAACTTAGTGTGTTGATAAAGTCATTAATAATATTATAAAAGGTAATATTTGTTTTGTTTAATTAAAATTAATATTGTTTCAAATAAATTAAAAAAAAAAAGAACTGATAATAATGAGAAAACACAGGTTTATAACTCATTTTATTATGCTATGTATAATGTAATTAAAGTAACTATTAAATTTACCAAAAATGTCGATAGTGTCATTAGTAAAAATGGCCTGATAGTAATAACCGAGTCTACGAAATTATGTTTTGAACCTAGCAAAAAGATCGAGTTATCCAATAGCAAAAGACCAATTCGAATTTATTTATTTTTTTTTTTTTTTTAATAATTATAGAAAAGATTAAAAACGTTTCTAATTTATTATAATATACTAACATATGTATATAAACTATAAACGTATGTATGTTAACACATCAATAAATTGTGTAATGAATATTGCAGTAGTTAATTGAAAAAAATAATTATAAAAATGTAATGTAATGTTTAACATGTAAATGAATTAAAGTTTAATGAAATATTAGAAATAAACATTATATTAGCAACTCAAAGAACTGTATTGCCGTAGATCGTAAGTGTATTATTATCTATTTATAACATGCATTTTGACGATGTACGTACGTCATCAATCATAATAAACAAAATGAATTATATTTTTAAGAGACTACCCGTAATAACCAAATACAATAATTTTTTTTTAATTGTGTAATCGGTAGAACTCAAAAAAAAAAAAAATTGTTGTATTTAAAGGACAACTTCAAGAATAAGCTACCTAGATAATTTATTATTATGGTAAGTCAATTTTTAATGATTAAATTCTTAGATAAAAAGTAGTTTATTTACATTACACGAATCTCAATAAATTTGATTTTAATTAAAACGTTTCCATATATTTTCACGGCTAAAAAGGACATACATTTCATTAATCTTAAACAAATTATTAAATATTTATGTATTTTTTTACGCATATAATAATAATCTAATGTATACACATATAAAAAAAATCAAATACACAGTAAATAAATAATATAAAATATAAAGAGAGTTGAAGGCATGTTTAGAACAACTATATAATCGTGGATATGATATGACCAAGAGTAATTTTTTTATAAAATCAGCTCTCACCTTACATAAAAAGTTTAAAATATTACCTAGTTTCAGTTAAATTCTTTGATCACTCTGTCAATAGACAGAGATGTACTTATGTATAAGTTTTTAGCATTAGTACTATTAATAATATATTTTTTTTTTATACAACGCAATACAAAAAAAAAAAATGTTATAATGGTATACATGAATGATGGTTGATGAGTCATATCATACGAAATTCAGAAACCCTCTTTATAAATAGAAGGGACGAATAGGATGATTATCACTTAAAGGGCGATATGGTTGTTTATTTGGCAATGTAACATCTG